TGATAGACATCTGTGGTAATGACGGAGATAGGTTAAATTTAAAGTTCAGCAAAAAAAATTGGCAATCAAGATTTTTATGATAACAAAGGCAGTGAGCATAAGATACAGAAAGTCACGCTAGAAATAGTGGATAAATATAAATACTTGGGCGCATGGATAAATAACGGGACTGAGTATCTAAGGGAGCACGAAATATACGTAATGACTAAGGGCACCAGGAATGCAGCTGTAATGAAAAATATGGTACTGTGGAACTGCAATAGATATGACGTTGTGAGAGGCATTTGGAAAGGTGTCATGGTACCGGGTTTGACGTTCGGCCGGGCGGTCTTGTGCATGAAATCAGAATTTCAAGCAAGATTGCAAATTAAACAACGTATCATAGGTAGATTTACTTTGGGAGCACACGGGAATACCCCAAATCAGGGGGTACAGGGAGACGTGGGATCGACATCGTTTGAGTGCAGAGAAGCTAGCAGCAAGATAGAATTTGAGGAGCGATTGAGAAAAATGAAAGAGGAGCCTTGGGATAGGAAAGTTTTCAGTTACTTGTACATGAAGAATCTCGATACTAAATGGAGGAAACGAACTAGAAAATTGTCAAGCAAGTATTTAGACAAAAGCAGAATACCAAGCCAAAGTGAAACATGGGTTAAGAATAAGGTGAAGGAAACAGAAAGGGACATGTGGAAGATGGGAATGCTTACGAAATGATCACTGGAGACCTACCAAACTTTTAAGCAGGAAATTGTAGGGGAAAAATCTACGATAGTTTTCGGGGTAGTTCTCTGCTGTTCGAGGCCAGAACGGGAGTACTGCGGACCAAAACGTACCGAGTGAAATACGAAGAAGGCACAGGCACGGTATATAGTGCGCGTGAAGAGGAGAAGGAAACGGCTGAACATTTGATAACGTTCTGTAAAGGGCTCCATCCTATAGTCGAAGATAATGGCGCCGAATTTTTCAAAGCATTGGGGTTTAGGGACAATGAAGGCAAAATAGACTTTAAACTGCTAGAAATAACCAAGAGGAGGATAACTGATTGGTGGCTAAATTCGAGACGCGAGTGAAATTCAATCTTTGAATACACAGCGATAGTACTTAACTTTATGGCTAGGCGGCGTGAGCCACCACCCTATATAAAGGGCACAACTGGACCCACCCACCCACCCACCCATCCATCCATCCATCCATCCATCCATCCATCCATCCATCCATCCATCCATCCATCCATCCATCCATCCATCCATCCATCCATCCATCCATCCATCCATCCATCCATCCATCCATCCATCCATCCATCCATCCATCCATCCATCCATCCATCCATCCATCCATCCATCCATCCATCCATCCATCCATCCATCCATCCATCCATCCATCCATCCATCCATCCATCCATCCATCCATCCATCCATCCATCCATCCTTCCGTGCTGCGCGGCAGCAGCCGCGCAGCACGGAAGCTCACCGCAAAAGGCCCACACGGGAGCCGGCGCTTTGGAACTTCCTCTATTCGCACTTCGTTATTTGCGGATGTCATTGACTTGCCGTCTGTCCATCTCTGTGACTAGAAGCGAGGACTTCTCTGTGACATATGACGAGAAGCGAGGGATTAAAGTTTGCTTCTTCGCATCATGCTGTGGTGGCTCGTAGCGAACCAATTTGAAAAATTACCATAGTAGAAGGCTTTTCATTGGGCACGCAAGAACTTCCAGTGCCTAACTGCAAATTATTATGTAACATAGAGAGAGACGCTTGAAAAGTAAGTTAAAGCCGCGTGCACATCACATTTTTTACTCGAAGGTGATGCAGCAGATGGGTTTCAATGTCAAAGAAAACACACCTTCGTTGACACAACACACTTCGTTCTCTTTATAAGCCATATCATTCTGTCATAAGACTTACAAAAAGCAAATTATTAGTAAATTATACCTGATACGAAATTCTAAAATCTTTATTACCATTGCGTGAAGAAGACTGTTTAGTGACTTTCATTTTGAATGTGAGCTTAGCATGAAATGCTTGACATAGGAGCTTTAACCACACGTTAACCGCGATGAATGTATTTCTCATCATAATTATTTTTTATATTTTTACCGCTGTCATTTTTGAGTAATGGCTTAGGACAAACTTTGAAGTGCAGTTCTGTATTTTTTATTGTTTGTCACTTAAAGACATATGACAAATTATCTCATACGGAACACGCATATTCAAGCATACGACGAAGGTATGCTTAGTACACCGTTTATTGTAAACATGCCGACGCCTGTCCCAGGCTTCGCTGTATAAAGTACAACAATATGGCGACCTTTGCTGCCACTCAGTCAACAAGAGCATTCCACGACTGGTCCTCCATGGTTTTTCATTCGTTCTCCAGCTACCCGTGGCTGCCCAGAAAAACCTGCTCTTCCTTTCTCACCGCAGCACTCAGGTTTTCAGGGGGGTTCTTCAGTTCCTTCAGGGCACTGGGCAGCTGTCTGTAGAAGGTGGTCGCCACGTCCTCAGCCATAGACGTCACTTTTTTTTACCCCATCTTTAATTCCCTCTCCTCCTTCCCCTGTAGACGCCGAGACATTCTTCCACTTAGGGCTGCAGAAATGGCGTCTTTTGCACTCCTCCCGCTTCTCTTCTAATCACTCGCAGCATGTCAGCTTTGTCTTTGTTGAGCCTTATAGTGTTTGGAAATATCAATGCTGCTTTTTTTACATGTATAACGGTTTCATACCACGCTCGAAAACAAAATTTGTGCTTGAATAGCGCTCATATGCGCGCCCATTTGGAAAATATGAATTCATATGCACTTACAGGCATTTAGGTACGAACACCGAAAATAGGCATTTAGAGGCACTTTAAAAACACCATAAAAACCCTTCTTAACCTCTAATTCATGCTCATATATCAAAGTGGCCCAATAGGAACGCAAGGAACAAAATAGGTATTTCCCTATAATGTGGTCTCTCATGATGGCATACCACAGAGAAGGAAATGACCCACACCCTAAGGAGCTTCACCCCTAATAAGCTGCTACTTCCTTTTCCTATTCCACTTATAACTTTATTATTATTATTATTATTATTATTATTATTATTATTATTATTATTATTATTATTATTATTATTATTATTATTATTTCGCACCTTCTTTTTTCAGCGCTACTAAAACGTTCGAGAATACAATTTTACGAGAAGATAGAACACACTTGCATAGAACAAAAATAATAAATCAATGAGAAAAAAACTGCAGTTATGAGGCTGCTAGTGTGGTGCTTTAATTAAATATGTTACTTTATCAAATGCAGTAGGGTATATGGACGAAACATACGAGATACTGGACTACATAAACCTAAGTTCCAGTCTTCATCCGGCCTACATCGACGCGAAGCTTCACTTCTCTATCACAATTGGACAAACGCTGCTTTTACAAAAGCATATAACACGTTAATCAGAGTGATTAACATTGCGGCATGAGATGGTTCTTGCAGCACCGGAGAAAACATCTGACAGCAGCTGTGTCACTGTCCTCGATTTTCCTCAGGGAGGCAAGTACTTGCCAACGCATTGCATCGACTGGATGCTTTTTATGCAGGTGCTATATTACAGCACCGTCCAAATCTCTCGACAGCCTGTGGTATTGGGCTTCTTTAGGACGACCGGTTTTGCGTGAACGCCTCTGACTTACGGTGGAGTTCTACACGCTGCAGTGAATTCACTGCCTCTCTCTGTCCCATTTTTTCATTTCCTTCTGTTCTCCCCTCGCTCATTCTATTCCGCTTTCCTAATCCCCCAGTGTAGGGTAACCAACCGGAAGTGTTTCAGGTTTAACCTCCCTGACTTCATTGTCCCTTTCTGTTTGTTTACTTCCTAGATATGTGTGATTTAACGTCCCAAAATCACCATATGATTATGAGAGACGCCGTAGTGGAGGGCCCCGGAAATTTTGACCACCTGGGGTTCTTTAACGTGCACCCAAATCTGAGCACACGGGCCTACAACATTTCTGCCTCCATCGGAAATGCAGCCACCGAAGCCGGGATTTGTTTCCTTCCTCCCTTCCTTCCCTTGAAAACCCTATCGTTGTTTACAAGCACAGGTGCTGGATGGCTTCCGGTTCTGTGCGCCAGCGTAGCCTAGCAGTACTGGTGAGGAACGAAACCCATGAAGTAGTCAGTTCATTTTCAAACGTTTTCTCCCTCCATCTGGTCAAATATTTCAAATACACGTTTTTTAAAGCTAGATACTACGTTAAAGAGTTAGTTCTTGACTTTTAGCACCTCCATTTCACATGAAAGCGGAAAAAGAGCCTTTCCTTACTTTAGCACAACCTAAAACACAAGATTTCTGCTTTGGGTTTAGAACTTGAACGTCGAATATGAGTGCTCCGTAGTCTCTGCGCATGCGCGAGGTGAAAGAGGGAAAAAAAGAAAGGACGGGGAGGAAAAATCTTTTTGCCGGATGTGACGTTGCGTTGCTTATTATCTTCTTTTTCTGGAAAGCGACTACTCTCGAGCTCGGGGTCCCGCCCGGCTTTTTGTGGACTTGGAAGTGTGGCAGCTTAGGCTAGCTGGTATGACATGACGATAGTTATAGCGCGAGAACAAAACGACGACAAAGAGACAAGAAGGATGTGTCTTTCGTGTCCTCCTTGTCTCTTTGTCCTCGTTCTGTTCTCGTGCTAAAACTATAGCTTTATGGACGGCGCGCGGAAAATGGAAATATGGTGGTCACGGACGAGCAAATTCCTTTTCCTTCCTCCATGAGAGCGGTGAAATCTCACGCTGTTGTGGCAATGTGTTCCGTGTTTCTGTCTGCCAAAATATTAAAGCAACTGCGAACGACGACCGCTGGTGTCAGACCTTCAAGTCCTATCGCCCACGGTAAGCCTGGTGCGTCGTTTTCACGCAGCTTGGCAAAAGTGCTTATTCATTTCTGCTGCTCCTCGCCGAATGTTGCTAGTTAACTATCTGCCTACCTTGAAGGCTTCTTTTTTGTCGTCAGATGTCTGGACGTTCAATTTCTACCGCACTTCCTGAGCGCGGCACGCGGAATTCATGGGCAGGTCGGCGCAAACGGTCTTCGTAAGGTAAGCAAGCTACTTCATTGTTTGGTTTCGCTAAATATGCAACGGTAAGACAGCAGCATGTGTGCCGGCCCACGTGCTTCCCCACGTTGGAATTTCTTACCAATATCGCGTCATTTGGTTCCCCTGTCATCGCAGACGAATGCGTAATGTTTCGAAGCTGAACCACTTATGGCGAGCATAAATTTGCCGATGCCCCGAACATTATTCTCACTACAGGCGGCACTCTTTGTTCAGCTGCGTAGTTTTGGTTCCACTGAGTTGTAAGCGTTTCCCGAAATGCGTCGTTTGATTTAAGTGGGGAAGCATGAAGAGCTGATGCACGTAATTGTATACAGTGAAATCAGGCAAACCCGTATTTGGACACTTTGTCTGTAGCATTAAGTATAGAGTTAATGGGAAACGCTTTATTAATTGCGTTTAGGGTGTCAGCCAATAGATAGCTCGCCCACAACATCATAGATGCAGCTTCGGAATGTACTGGCACTCCACGATTGAGCCGGACAGCGAACGAGCGACATTACTGCGAAAAGGATGTGGTCAGAACGTCTGCATGTCCAACGAAGGATGTATGAGATGTTTTGATGGTATTGAAAGGGTCGGGAAACGAAAATGAAGCTGCCCGGCAGTAAATCACCCTGCTTCAATAGGGATGATGCATACATATCCCAAAGTATCTCTCTATAAGTAACCCTGCCCTTTCGAATCTCTCAAGCTCCTAAACATCCACGGGGCCTTGCCTACCACCATAGTCAATGAACATGAGACGTGAGTCGAACGTCATGGCAAGAAAATTTATTAACACAGCGGTAGCCTTCGTTTGCTCCAAAATGACAGATTTTTTAGGAAGCCAGGACATAGCCAAAAAATAACACAGCAATTCTCGTGCTCTCAGCTGTGTATACCATAGAAGTACAGCGAGTGATCTGCTTATTTCTGCTTTCAAATAAATCTGTGCTCTGTCACATGTTGCCTTCACTCGCTTGGTGCCGCATCTAAGTTTTGTTTTTTTGTTTTGGCTGGTTTCGTTGGATTGCGTTCTGCAGCGTATTTTGGGTGGCTTCGTCCTCACTGTGCATACCGCATGCGTCGTCATACGATGCCACACAACTTATCAAAGTGGAAACAACATTCGTGACTACTTTGTGGTGCTGCCATCGAGACGATGTGATGCCGCGAACCTCGGTTAACTGTGGCTGGGTCGCCATGTTTTGTCGACGGCAGAGACTTTTGCCGACCTAAAGCAACGTGAGCTGGGAATTGAATGTAACGATTAAATGAACTTTGTCGAGGTATAGTGTGAATGGACGGCCACGATTCTGAATACACACGCAGTTGAAGCGTTTCGGAAAACGTTTCATACCACCTTTTATTTGAAATGGCAAGTGATGTGTCTTCACATACTTCTGTCTCAACACAGCGGTTTCAGTGACATCAAAGCATGCCATCTATAAGTGCAACCTATTAAACATGCTCACTAGTTGACTGTGGGGAAGCCATGGGCTAATTATACGTTGTGCCTGGCTTACGGCTCAGCTGATAGTATTTTGAATTCCGCGTTTATTAAGACGAAAGCCTTAAGCGCCTCTTGTGAAGCATAAGGTTTGCCTTGAAAATTGTTCTGAGGAGTACGAAAATTCACATGACCTTGGTGAGGTTAATAAAAAGATAATAAATTAGAAAACGCATGGTTCAAGCCAAAATCGAATGCGGGCACTCGAGCATTCTGCAACAAAGCCACTTCAGTGCTTAAAAAGTGCTGCAAGATCCTGTAGAGTATTCATTGAGCTCATCTAGCAGGTGTGTGGCCAGTGAGTGCCCAGACCTGGCCAAAATAGACGTTGTTCAGTGATCTGACTAATGAACTTTAATGTCTTGTTAAATTATGAGGAAATGACAATTCAGAGCAATACACTCAGGCCAAGCACCTTGGTTGTGGTATTAAGATGATGGCACGTGACCACAGTTACGGTCGCTGTGGCACTAGAGCTCCTTTTGGATGACTTTATGTGAATATCTTCTGTACAGTTGTCACACCCAAGTTGTCTCGTTAACAGATGTAATCACGCATGGCAGAATTGCACCTGCCGTCAGGCTACATGATTTTGCTTGGATGCTGAAAACACTTTACAAGAGTGTTGCAAACAAAGGAACTTCTGTGAGAGCAGCATTAACAGTTCAAAGCTTTCGTAGAATACTTACAAGTACTCTGATAAAAACAATAGTTAATGAAGGCAAGGAAGGTACTGGGGAAATTGCCTTCACTGTTTTACCGTTTTAGAGGAGAACTGATGCAAAAATTTTGCAGCTTTTGTTTTTATTTTTTTCCCCGACACAGCAAAACAAGGTTGTTGGCATGAAGCGGGCAGCTGTCATTCAGATGTGCGTTTTAAAGCCTTTATGATCATGTATCCTTAATGGTGAATGTTTACGTTCTTTGCGTTTTGGTTATCATTTGGGGCGCTGCTGCGAAACGTATAGTTTGAAGTGCAGAGTAGACGATTTGCCTGTATCAGTCTGTCTGTCAAGCTGCTGTCTACTTCATTTCTGGTTAGCTGTAATGATTTAGTTTTTTTTAGTTTCGGTATTGAAAATTGCATTTTAATAGCCTTACCTTGAGCGACAAGCTGACAAGGTTGTGCCCCCTGATGAAACTTCTAAAGGCAAAGTTCCTGCAGCACTTTTAGCCGGTGCGTCAGTTGAGTTACGACGAAAGCATGATAGAATATTATGATCGTCATGGCTGCACACACTTAATTCGCGGCATACCTATCTGCTTTGGCTACAAAGTGTACTGCCTGAATGCAAAAAATGGCTACCTTGCAAACTTTGAAGTATACCAAGGAAAATGGGAAGACACTGTAACAAGCACGCCTTATGAAATGGCTTCGGAAAAGTGGCATTGCCTTTCCTTGAAATGGTAGAATTTCTAGTTGGAGTTCGTCAACCGCCATTTCATTTTTATTTCGACAATCTCTTCACCAGCCTGCACTAAGGTGCCTGCAAGAAAAGAACTATGGAGCAGTGGGCACAGTGAGGCAAAATCGTGTGCCGAAAGAACCGTGTGCCCTATCGCTCAGCCTGATTTCATCACGCGCATGACCCATGGATACGAAGAGCATGCACTTTCGGATGATGGGATAATGATCGTACGCTATATGGACAACTCTGTCGTAACAATTGCAAGCAAAGTGCATGGCGTAAAGCCCATGTCCTCTGCAGATAGGTATTCCCGCGCGCAGAAGAAAAGGATCAAGTCCCTCACCCGAAGGTCGTTACTCAGTATAACAGCTTTATGGGAGGCACTTCTCAGATGGACGCAAATGTAGGTACCTACCGAATTGCAATCTGTGGAAAGAAATAGTGGTGGCCTATATTTACTAGGCTCTGCGACGTAGCCATAAGTAATGACTGGATGCTTATCCGCAGCTCAGGATCAAGCATTGCTCAACTTGACTTCCGAAGGCAAATTGCTCAAAGCTACCTGACAAGATGGAACGACAAGCCAAACAAACCTGGTCGTAGAAGAATGTTCACGCTTCGTGACAGTGCTCTTTCTGGCCCACGGTATGACCTAACAGCGCACTTTGAACTGTGCCTGATGGCAAAAGGCGCAGGTGCGCTGAAGACAGCGCAGTGTGCACACAGTACATGAAATGTGACGTCGGCATGTCCATTCTATACTTTTTACCATATCATAGTAAATAAGTGCCCAGCAGCTCAATAATTATATTTTTCACATTGTATCGAATCCAGAAATAAATTTTTTCGGTGTGTGAGGTCCAATTTGCGGCAGTTGTTGGCTTGCAAAAGCCAATGCATCAAAAGTCATTCACACCCGTAAGCCGGAAAGTTCGTGATGCGGCAATGGATGACGTGAGCGCCAATCTTGAGAGGTCGAAAAAGCTCGCAGTGAGAGAACTTAGCAGGGACGACATTTCCCTTATGTATGACGGTATGTGGCACAAACATGGCTGCAAAATAGCATGACACTGGACTTAGTTTGTATTTTGCAGTCTTATGAAACTTCTTCCTAGCTTGCAGTTGCCACAAGGCTCTGCCAGATGGAGCCGAAGTTTGGCAAGCGTTTCATGGCCCTGTCTGTGAGCGAAATGTCTGTGAGGAGTCTGCTCGAAAAAGCAGAGAGGGACAAACTCATGGTGCTGACGTATTTTAGTCGCAGTGGCCACTACAAGAAGGATTGTTCTTTTTGGTGTGAACATTTCATCCTAATGATATCTTTCATAAATAAAAACTTAATTTTAACCTTAAAACTCGTTTTTCTCAAAACACATATTTTGCCATTTTTCCAATGTGCCCCTCCTTTTTCGGGCACTTTTTGTGCTCGAATCTGCATGAAATTTTGTCCATATTTTATCAAAAGTATGACAAATGCAATTATCTAGTTTCAATTTCAATATTTCATTGTATAATAAAAAATTGTATGTGTACCTTTACTAGGTAGGTGAAATATAGACTTTTTATGCCTATTATTTTTCACTCATATTACATATTTTGCATGTGCTTCCTAATTAGTTATTTCCACTCTATACTTTATTTGAAGCATAATGAACTATGAATGGTCAAAAATTACGGAAGTTTAAGGATGTAAAGAGGGGGGGGGAGAGGGCAAAAAGGTTAAGGGTCTCACATTATCTTGCTGCAGAGCTAAAAATGTGTAACTTGCAAGAAAACTAATTATACATTTGAAATCAACATAAAAAGTTTCATAAACAGCTCAAGTTTCATTGCTCTAGGGTGAATATTTAAAAAAAAGTGTCTTCGAGTAGCATCTCCCCTTAAAAACAGTCTTAAGGCAGGAGGACACGTCGACAGGCGAGAAGGGAAGTTGGCACAAGTATTTATCGAGCATCAATTCATACACGCAGTAGGCAAAAGTCTGGAACATGGTTAGTAGGGTAGCAGGAAGACCATGCACATTCACTCCTTGGTAAACACACAGGGGGACAGCTTGAAATATCAGGTGAACTTCCTCGGCGCAC